ACAGTTCATAGGCAAATGCCAGACATGCTCGGAACTCGCAAGCGGTTTCGCTTTGCAAAACAACTCGATGCTCGCGAGCATTTTTGAGAAAACTAGAGCGCTCCACCCAGCTCTGGTATATAGTACATTACTGGGAACTTAAGGGAAAGGTGGAATATGAAGAGGAACTCGGGGAACTCTTGGAACTTGAGAGGATGAATAATGAATTTTAGAGAACCTTGGAAAAATGAGAGAAAACCTCTGAGGAACTTAGGAGATGCTTTTATAGAAGTTGAGTAAAGTTTATCGGGAAACTGAAGGGAATTTGGGCACTTCAGTGGTACCTAGGTTAACTTCATGGAAACCTGAGAACTGGAGAGTTTGGGGAGAACCTGAAGAAAAATCAAAAACTTAAAGGAAAGCCTTGAAGGAGTTTGAGGATCCCTACGGAGCCTTGACTAACCTAAAAAGAACTAGGAAGGTCTAAGAAAATCCCTGACACATTTTTTTATTTTTGAATTATTTCGAAAAAATCGTATTTTTTGATTTTACGAACTATTTATTTTAGAATGTCTCCTTATCTCGGACACAGTGTATACAGGGTGATTCAAAATTGAGTGCAAAGATTTTAAGGGCATATTTATAAATCAAAAATAAAAAATTGTTTTCATACAATCGTATGTCCTAACTTGCTCCGTTTTCTAGATCCAGTAAAAGTTTTTTAATAAAAATCGGTTTTTACTTACCTATTTTATTCCCACCGAAGAAAGGCCCTGTATGACGACAAATAAGCCTACAAACGTTATTTAATACGGCCGAAAGCTTGTGTGAAAGGTTTTTGAATAATGTATAATTAAAAAAAAAATCTTTCACGTCTTGTATCTAGAAAACGAAGCAAGTTAGGACATACGATTATATGAAACAAATTTCTTATTTTTGGCTGGTAAATACGCCCTAAAAATCTTTTCACTCAATTTTGAATCATCCTGTAATTCAATAAGTGCCATAAATCATTTGGATGTCTATCACAGTAACAAGTCAAAACGGGCACACTAAAACACTGAAAAACACTTTTTTTGATTTTCAGCAGGAATTCATTTTTGCAATATTTGAAAAATATTTATGATTCACATTTATTTTCCATCAGAAGAAAATGTGTATATCGTTATATTTGAGACAAGTGTTCCATGGACTCCCCGATAACACTTTTTAGCGCATTTTTTAAGAATTAAAACAAAGTGTGCTATTGTCTGCGTTTTGTCCGTCCGTTCGGACTCACTTCTGCCGTTTTAAGCTACTTCTAGGGGAATGTTCAGAGTCCTGGAATTTTTTGCAGTAGGTAGCCTATACCTTGAAGGTGTGCCAGACGGCCATCAAATTTCGCTGTCTAAAATGCCCCCCCCCCCACGATTATTTCCCGAGATTTTTTGAAAGTAAAACGTGCATAACTTTTACGACAAGCAATTGGTTTCAGATTTTTGTACGCAAAGGTCTCACGAAAGGAACCGTTTTCTACCAACTACTGCCCTTCTTTCTCTCCTCTTATCAAAGTACGGTGTGGAGGGGGAGGGGGGAGTGCAACTAGTTTTATCCTTCATGGTACTCTAATGAAAGGTCTCAACGAAAAGAATTAATTTCTACCAACCATAGCCTTCCTCTTCGACCTCTTATCGTGATCGGGTATATTCCCTTATACCTCAAGAACGGATTGTAGGAAAAGCGTAGGTACTCACAAAAGGCGATAGAGACGTCTGCAAGAAATATATCCATTGGTGATGTCAAAACAAAAGCTATTTCGGTTAAAAAAAAATGCGCTTTATTTGCACAAGAGTTGTGAACAATTTATACTTGTTTCAAAGTGCTTAGTTTGAAATTCTTCGTTGTAGTTTTTGAAAATTGGTCAAATATTGACAAAAGCCCGATATTTATTTTATTTATTTAAGTCTTTATTTTTGAGTGGGCGCGGCTTCATCCAAGGATGCTCTACCAACCCAACCCACTTTATATTTCCATGCTCCGAATCCGGATTCGAACCAAGGACCCTTAGTATCGCAATCAAGCTACAATTCAACTGCACCACACGGGCCGGCGGCCGGAAAACGATAAGCCACACCCCACCTACGTTTTTTGAAATCGAAAAATTTTCGCTGGTTTAATTGTTTGAACTTTTGGAATATAAATAATATACTCGTAATATACCCGTTGTACGTAGGTACCTTGTTTCTATTCCATTTTGAATCTTAACCTTGAAGGCGAAACCCATTTATTTAACGAGTTCTTAGCGTGTCATAATTTCGAGGTGTCTGTCCGTCTGTCCGTTAGTACGATATCTCGAAAACGAGTGGACCGATTACAATGAAATTTTGCAGGTGGATTCTTTATCCAATTTTTAGATCGGAGGGCGTGAATTGGAAATGTAGGCCTAAAAATAAAGAAGCTCCTTTTGACATCTCCGTTAGTTATGAACCGAATTGCATGAAATTTAAAATGGGCATGGCTTTAAATATATAATACGCAATGCCAAGCTACAGCCATATCTAGGAAATCGTTTGCTATATTTGTTGTTTATTTATATTAGTGATTACTGATTAGCGTATTACTCAATGCTTGAATCTAAAAAGTCTATATCTTAGAATCTGTTACTTAAATCAAGAAATGTTGAATCATAAAAGTTTGAATCTCGGGTTTAAATCTTGACGGACTTTGTATCTTCCATCTTTAGTTAAGTGGTCAGTTCCAAGATACTTCAATCCATTCTGTTTCTGGAGTTGCATGTGCATTGGTGTTTTACATTGAAAGAAGTAGACTAAAATAACTGGTGTAGGATAAAAGTTCGTTTACGTTTTTGTAAATTTTATTAAAGCAATGCAGTGGTTCTCAAACTTTTTAGTAAGAACGTCTTCGATCAATATCGCTCAACTGCGATATATAAGTGATCAAGTGGAATGAATACGTTTCAACTCAATTTTCATCCATATTTCCTTGCGGAAATGAGAATGGGAAAGTAATTATTCTGTTCTACAGTCGCAATTGTAGAATATCTACTACCATAGCCAAAATTTCTTATTACAAATCTTCACATTGTTCATTACAAGTTGAGCTTTGATAAAGTATTTTGTAAAAGGTGAAAATAACGGAAAAAAAGGTTTTGTTGAGGCAGTTTTTGAATACATCGTGTTTCATAAGAACTGCAAGCGCACTTTATTAACATTGTTACAAGCGAGCAAATTGGGAAGAATCAACTTTGGCCGTAACTGCCTAAATCACGCAAACCCGTTTATATATAGATCTATCACCTAAATTTAAAAATCAACGTGGCACACACATTTTCCCAAATTAAAAAATATGACACTTTCATCTAATGAAAATAAATGAGATGCAAATTTAAAAGTGGCACCTTTTAATTTTTTTGGTGATGCGATTTTTTCGGAAATTAATCTCGTCACGAGCGCTGTCATAATCAAATCGAAAAATTTCCAATATTTTTAGAAAGCACGTGTGATATGACGTCATATTGGCAAGCGAGTTTCCGCCTCTCCATCGTTCAGATTTCGACGTTATCTTACGATTTTACTGCATAAAACTGGGGAGAATTCTCACATTTATCACGCTTTTCATCACACGTACCCATAAAATGTTTTATAGTGTTTGGTGCGTATGTTTTTCCTTTCGTTTTTAATTCGCAGCCTCTGATTTATTGACGTAAATCCGAGATTGTGACGAGAAATAGTTGTAATTACCTTGCGCCACACATGCGATCGTAACGCTATTTTCGTGCTATCTACGTACAAGCTCCATGCCAGCAGCTGATTAATTGCCGAATTGTGAGATTAATATTTCATTCGCCAGATGTTTTTACGATGCGTTTTCGTAAAAAAAAGCGAATACTTCTTTCAACAAAATTTTTACCAATGCCGCCGCATCCAAAATTTATGGCCGACTTTGTTTTTACTTGCACAGACCCGAATGTCTCCGATCCTGCTGTCATTTTTTGCTCGGTACTCGCGCCTAATTGCCACTCATCTCTTGTATTTGGCTACTTTAAGGATTTTCACTTTTAATTGGGTACTTTGTCGCCATCTATTGGAAAAGTATCAAAGCATGCGCTTTTTACCTTAGATTTTCTACGAGATTGATTAAAACGAAGTGCGGTTGTCTGAATAAAATTACCGTAATTTATTGTGTTTGAAGCATGGTACCTTTACCTTTACTGCGCAAGGCAAGGGAAAACCAAATAAATTTAAAGTTTTGTACAAACTTTAAGTTTCAGATTTAGACTTACAACGATATTTTCTCGCTGATTGATAATTTCGATTGTTACGTTTATATTTAAATTCTAATGTATATTTAACATTGGTATCTTCTTTGTAATCCACTAGTTTGGATGTAAATTAATTCTGTAGTGTAAAGTATTCTTCTTGTAGATTTCTCATTGCCTTGTTTCTTTATCTTCGTGTTATAAGTAGGTTTCTTTCAATAGTTATTTGTTGCCGTTCGAGGTCGTACAGAGTTTATTTAATTCCCTACTGCGCACGCACTCCTTGTAAAAGACGCGTTTTCAATCATTACTTGCAAGAACATACACGCCATTACTCGCCTTTTTTGGAATATACTGGCGCTGTGTTAGGTTTAGTGAAGTTTTTCTCTTGTTATTTTACACCCAAGCTTCGTTGACGCTTTTGCAGAGTCTAAAAGTACGTGTACGGTATGTTAACAACAATTACACCTTTACCTTTTACTTTGAATAATCATTTTAGGCTTCTTCTTACCTTTTACCTCTGATTCACTCTTTACGTCATTATCACCTACCTGACTGTGCTTTCGATATCGATATTCCTGAGCGAAAACTGTACAATTTTGGATTTTCTCAAGATCTAAGGACAATCTGTAGTGGAATTATTGATTTTTTTTAGATTAATTACAGTTTTTCGTATACGTTTAGCCCCCGTGTCAGACGTTACACATTGCATTTTGTGCAGTGCGATTCATTACTCCTGTTATTTGTTTGTTTTCTGTTACAGAAAAAGCTGAACGCGCCCTTCTGAGATCTCAAGGTTGCGACCCGAAGTTCAAAGGTAATTTTATTATTTTTGTCGATTTCCCTGAATTTAACGTTTAATTACATATTGGTTTTCGTTACCATCGAATTGTAATTATTACACTTGCTTCACTCGACGATTATAGCTCCGTTGTTTTTGCGGAAGCCTATTTGGATAAATATTATCTCCGATTACGCATTGACCCTTTTTTTACTAAAAATTAATTTAAATTCAAATACGCGAATTAAATTATTGTTTATTTTCTATTCCTATCAAGAATTGTATTCCTCTTTTTTTGACATTTACTGAAGACTAAGTGGCGCCTATCCGGATTACTTTCACTACTTTTCCATTTTTGCTTGTGTGTAAGAGCCCCGACCCACCTCCCTCTACTTTTCCTGATCTTGCCGTGTACTTACCACAAGACAATTTTGCTCCCTGGCACTTTGTATTTTTAACATAGGCAGGCCATCTACAAAGATCTTGCAGATCACTCAGATTTCGTCTGCTCACAGAACAAACCGTCTTAAATACTTTCCACACACTTTTACTACTTTTTACTCACTCCTATTCCTATACACACTTTACTTGGAACCGACAAACCGCGTCTTGAACAAAACAACCCCAACAGCCCGAAATTTAACCGATGGGATAATCTCCTTCCTCAAGATCTTTCAAATCAACCGCCAATCACAATCAGACTTGGTAACGCCAGCTTCGAAGGAACGCGTCCCCACTTACGCTGAACTAACGCGCACATCGTAACATCTGCATCTCCGTTATCTCTTCTAACGGCGACAAGAACACGTGCGTTATCAATCAAATAACAATTCGTTAAATATATTATTTACCAAATGATCCTTCCATCAATAAGTATGGAAAATACCCTTTTGGACACCGCCGCTTGCGTGTGACACCAGTGTACGTATGTAGTGCCATGTGTTTTATATTTTAACAATTCGCTGTTAGGTGACTTTTGAGGAAAATTTTTATTGAAATTGTTCTTGTATGTATGATCATAATCTTTTATTAATTAGTGACGTCTTTGTTGAAAAATAGCAAAACTAGTTTTCGAGCCAAAATAAAAGGGTTTCTCCAGTGTGCCTGGTACTGATGCGATTTAAAGAAACGAACAGGGCATGCGAATCAGAATCATTCCCATCGAGCTGTATAAAGCGACTCAGTAGGTTCGTTCGTTTTTCTCAGATCTGACAGCAGCAGCAGGAGTAGCAGCGGCCTCGTTTCTATGTTGATTCTGCTATTTAAAAAAACTTACACGGTAGGAGAATCTCATCCTCAGGATCTTTCAAATCAACTGCCAATCACAATCAGACTTGGCAACGCCAGCTTCGAAGGAACGCGTCTCCACTTACACCGAAGTAGCACGCACATCGTTATCTCAAGAACACGTGGGTTAGTTAAATTTCATCCGATAACAAAATTTCTTATCGCAAACGACCAGATGTCCCCTACACTTTAACACTCAATTTCACGTTTTACAATTAAATGCACAAGTCATTTACAAAAGCGATAATATTTAAACAGTAATACGCTATGACAATCAATTCTAAAAGTAAAAAAAAACACTTTGTTCTAATTGTGCATAATGAAAATAGTTTTCTCAAGCTTAGGGAATCGCGCAGATGAGTTTGCAACCATGAATGAAATCTGTGAGCTTTGTTTATATTTTAACCGTGCTTGAATGTCAGTTTGTTTGTTTATATTTTGATTTTTGACACAATTTCTACAAAAATAGGGGTTCACATAATAGGGATGTAATTATAAACTGTCCTTAAGTACTTGTCAGTGTAGTGTAGAATCCAACGTAGAACACAGAGAAAAAAGGGTACTTATATTTAATTCATATTTTTCAACATCCGTAATTTGACATACATTCCTGAGCACCCTGTATATATTTTTGCAATGACTACATACTTCTTATAGCTCGGTATGCACTGTATGTTTTTTCACGGAAGTAAAATAATCTCATCCGCTACGCTGTCATGCGTTACGCCGTAAAGCGCATTTGAAAGAAAATTGTAAATATCGCATTAAAATCGTAGTCTTTGAAATTGACTAATATACACATTTAAAGCGTATTAGTAGAACAATGACACCTTCTCCCTTCACTTTTTAATTAATTAGTGAATTCATTTAATCCCACGAGGGCGAGGGTGCTTTCGAGGGATTAATTTGATTATTTCAGAGAATTTTTTGGGTTTGGACTTTGAATTGATTAATTAATTAAAAATTGGGGCGATTTTAAGCTTTTTTTACAATTGATTTAATTGAAATTGATTACTAATTAATTAATTAATCCGAGCGTCGATTAATTTAAATTCACGGTTTGATTTCTCGGAATTTCGTCTAATTTAATTTGCGATTTTGATTGATCTAATTGATTTAATTCGGTGTTTGACTAATTTAATTCTCGTATAATAAAACGAATTAATAGAACAATGACACCTTCTCCCCTTCACTTTTTAATTAATCGGCGAATTCATTTAATCCCACGAGGGCGAGGGTGCTTTCGAGGGATTATTTCAGAGAATTTTTTGGGTTTTGAACGCGATTAATTAATTAAAAATTGGAGCGATTTTAAGCTTTTTTTACAATTGATTTAATTGATAACGTCATCAATGAAATTCATTACTAATTAATTAATTATTCCGAGCATCGAATTTAAATTCACAGTTTTGTTTCTCCGAATTTCGTCTAATTTAATTTGCGGTTTTAATTGATCTAATGATTTAATTCGGTGGTTTAATTTAACTCCCGTATAATAAAGAAAAGTAATTACACATATGTAATTGCCCTTTAATTGAAGGCATACTGGTTGAAAACAAAACTAGCGGTACATTTGTCCCCTTCTTTCTTAGGAAAAGAAACAAAATGGCGACGAGTAATATTATCACGACTGAGTTCACCATACAGCCTAACCATGCGGTAGCACTGTGCATTTCACAAAACCTCCACACTGTTCATATTGACTGTGTGGAATTCTTCTAGTGTTACACGCATGCGGTGGTGGCCAAGAGGATATTTTCCATACTTATTAATGAAAGGGTACAGAGAGCAGGGCCCTGACTCTTGAGTTCATAGGAATGGAATTAGTGAGGGAAAGAAGAAATTAAATATTTGGACGTCCGTTATCTGTATCCGTTCATTAATAAGTATGGAAAATTCCCTCTTGGCCACCCTTGCGTGCCAGTAACATCCGAAGAAACGCGCACCGTCACTGTGAATAGTATGGAGGGTTTTGCGAAATGCACAGTGCCCCTGCCGGTTCAAGGTGGATGGTGTTCGTTATCGCTTCTATATGGCGCAGCGGTGCGGAAGCTCGGCTGCGTCATTAAGGGTCCCTGGTTCGAATGTAGGTTCAGGTAAATGTACAGTGGATTAGAATGGTAGACTAAACATAAAATAAAAATAAATCTTATGGGCCAAAATAATTCGTGGTGCTGGGGGAAGTGAAATGTGTCCAGAGAGGTCCGAACGGACTGACCAAGGGCAAGTCGCAACTTTTTTAATTACAAAGTAAAGGATTTCAGACGAGTTTTCTTAGTTTTTGTGATATTTAAGGGCGAAATCCAAAATCAGGAGTTGTATAATATGACGATTTTCCAGCTGTCACTTACAGGGTACTCGTTTATTTCCACTTGTCATCAGAATTATTCCCCTTTCTTGGATTATGTTCAATCAGTGCTTCATACCTTTATTTGACGTTTAAATATTACCAAGAATTTTCGTATTTGAACTGGGTCGTGACAATTTACATTTTTTTCGGGCCGACCATCCTGGATAAATTTTTAGTTAATGAAACTTTTTTATTTAATTTTTAAAGTGCAAAAACTACTTTTCTTGTAAAAGTGAAACTAATTCTTCTCTCGTAGATCGATACGGAAGCGCGTGGTTTTCCCGCGAGTGAAATCTGTTCACATCAAAAACGAAACGAAACCACTTTTCATGTTTCCGTCTTGTAGCATTTCGACGGCGGAGGCCCGGGCAGATTTGGCTTAACGAGATTTATTTAAAAGATAAAAATTCCAGGTGGTTTCGCCGAAAATGTGCTATGCAAACAAAGGATTACGCTTTTAACTCTCGAGACGGATTTGTGCTGGAGGTATTTGCTGTGCGATACAATCTTGTCCTTTCCACAACTCCCCGGCTTACATTTGTTTAGGCTATCACACTTTGAACATTTCCCCAAATTATTTTATGGAAATAGTTTCTCCTTTGTTGGGAAGTTACCAAAATCCGGTAAGGAATATTAAAAATAGTGCGATTTCTAACAAGAAACCTTCATTCAGTATCAGAGTCAATTTTAAGGGTTGATACGGGTACTTAGTTCACTGCTTATCATAAGCAAACAAGTGATATAAGTAATATTATGTAAATGAAGCTTACTAAATTCACGTTCGAGTTTTAGTTAAAACAAGATCTCCTCACGAGAACTTTGCTTAGAACCACTCGAAATTACAATAGCCAAACAGTGTCCCTGTCTCGCGGTTTCTATTGTAGAGAGCTGCACTAAGGGAAGTTTATATCGAGTTTATAGTAGCTGTTCACAATACCCCAACCCTCTATAGATCGAATTTCCCGATACGTCCCCGAGTTTCATTTCGGTTTTAATTATTTCGCGATAGAAACATTCACTCCTGTAGTTATTCGCGGTTTAGGCGCTCGCAACCAAAATCGGGGTCGGATCATATTTGCTAGGACGCGTTGATTAAATCAGCTAATTTGCGGCGACCCCTGGCGGATTAGCTTTCGTAATTGAATTTGAAAGTCAGCTTCTGATGGAAAAATTGGGTTACGATCGGAGTCTCCGCGAAATTTAATTAACCTTATCGATGTTTCCAGTCCAAAAATTGTCGATGTAACTTACGAAACATTTCGGGGAATCGTGTCGCGGGCCATAGCACATAAATAGGACTTAATTTCGAAGCCGCAACTCTGCAAATGGACATAAGGACATTAGCAGTTTGCTCAAACTTATTCGATTACCCCTACCGTATGCCGTAAAT